AACCAGTGCCTCGATGTGTGAGGCAGACGCCCTCCACTGAGCTGCAGCCCCAGCCCCTCCATCTGATTACTTTAAACTGTGGTTTAGGGTGTTTCCCTGCCCGTATTTGTGCAGGAGCTGTGGTTTCTCAAGTGCTCTTTCCCCGCTCACTTTTTTCCTTCCAGCCATTCAGCGTGGACTTCACTGACTCACCAACATTCTGTGATGACGTGGAAAGTGGTTTTTTTTTTTTTTTTTTTTTAAGATCAATCAAATTCTTGGCATAGGAAAGACTGTGTCATTTGGCTGACGTGAAAACAGTTTTAAGGATTTTAAATGCTTGCAAACATTGTGACATTTATCCACAGAGATATTTGGAAATAGCTCACTGGCTTCTCGGGCTGTGTTTGGTGTTGGGGTTTCATGTCTTTTGTCTTTAACTCTGGGTGTGAGCTGTGTGATGTTGTGGTTTTAAACTGTACCAGAGGAAGTCCGGGAATGTAGATAGAGCTTTAAATGTCATCTACAGGAATAGAGATAAGAAGCCCAGGCCTGACTGGGTTTTCATCACTTGAGGCCTTGCTCGTCCAAGGTGAACTGATGAGGGATGGAGTTGTGGTCCTTCTCCTCAAGCCAGCGATTGCGTCTGTCCAATGTCAAGTGAGCAGGGCTTTGAAACACGGGCCAGAGGTTCTCTCAGGAGCTCTGGGGCATGCAGACCATGGTTTTAAAAATGGAGGTGATGGAAAGTTCTAGAAATGCTTCCCCCACTTTTTTGGTGAAGAGTTAGGGTCTCACTCTGTGGCCCAGGCTGGCCTTGAACTCCTGGGCTCAGCCTCTGAGCGGCCAGGGCTCTAGGCGTGTGCCACCACACCCAGCTAGCTGTGGTTTTATTCAGCAAAAAAGAACCTTGTTCCAGGACCTGGAAGAACACTGCTGGCTTCTAAAGTACTTTCTGCACAGCATTTGGTTCTTCCTGAAGGATTGCTGTTTGCACCTCACAGAGCTCCTCCTTGTAGGCCCATGTAGCCGTGTCTCTGTGCCTGTCACTTCTGCAGGCTGACAGGGGCGGTGAGCTGCTTTGTCACCTGCCGCCAGCAGACTCCCCGCACACAGGGCACACAGCAGTGTCAGACAGCAGCACAGTTCCCTTGTGCTTCCTCTGGTCAGGGTTCCCAGGAATGGCTTCACCTGCCTGGGTCTGATTCTGGATCTCTCCTGCGCTGCGGTTACCTGGAGGGTCCACTTCTAAGGTGGCTCATTCACAAGCCTGGCAAGGTACTGCCAAGTGTTGGGCACAGGAGTGTCCTCCCAGAGTGACACTCCTGCCCTGTGAGGGATCCAAGTGAGCGAAAGGCATACGTCGGACTGTGGTTCTGCAGGGCCCACTGGAGGAGGGGACTGCACGAGGTAGAAGCACAGGGGTCTTCTTGGCTGTCCTGGAAGCCACTGCCACAGCTGTCACTCTCTTGGTCACCCTTTGTTGCTCCCTGGTGCCCAGCAGTGCTGTGGGATTGGGGTGTGCACTCTGCATACATAGCTTCTGATGAGACAGAAGAATTTGAGAAACGCCTGGTGTCCAAACTGCTAGGACAGTTTCCTAATCTGAGATATTGTGTTACTCTAGGAAGCGTTTAGTAGGGTTCTTTTAACATATGTATCTAGAATAATTTCGCTTGAGAAAGCCTTTTGAATCAGGAGGATGAGTAGGCAAGCAGAAAAGCAGAATTTATAGATTGTTAGCAAATACTCCATTGCTAGTTCTATAAGGAGATTTAGTCTAAATCTGCAGGTTTCTTTTAGTTTGTCTCATTGTACCTTATGTGTGCACTCCCCAACATGGGTTTTATTTTGGGGGGGGGGTGTTTACTCAGGTGTGCTCTGCCTACCTGCTGAGCTATATCCCCATCCCTTTTTATTCTTTTATTTTGAGAGGGGATCTTGCTAAGTTCTTAAGAGTGTGGCCTTGAGGACTTGGGATTCTCTTGCCTCGGCCTCCCAAGTGGCTGGGATTACAGACATGCACCACCATGCCCAACCCCAAGTGGATTTGAAAATTATAGTTTTTCAAAGTTCATCAATAAGAATTTAGGTTCCCTTCATGGGAAAAAATATTACATTGTCCTTGTATTCTTTGAATTTGTGTTCTAAGACTAGCCCACAGTTAGTTAATGTATTAAAATGATTTTTGTTTTGAAAGTTACAAGGAGATTGTATCCCATTGCAGTTTTGGTAATTAAAGCCAAGAACCACAGTCTTGAGTAGGAAGGGTCATCTTAAATTGTTGCTTTATGCAAACTTACATAATTTGAGAGAAGGTCTTAGAAACATAGGAGAATTCTGAAGGGTTTCTCTGGATCCCATTGGGTATATTTAGGTATGTACACATTATTCATCTAACCCTGTTTTCACTGTCATTGGCTTCAAGGTATGAGTGTGTTTTCTAGAGTTATGTATTTGTTCAGGTAATTCCACTATAGAATGAAAAGCAACCATGGACTGAAACCTCTAGGACTCTGAGCCAAAGAAAACCTTTCTGATTTATAAGTTGATTAGCTCCAGCGTTTTCTCACAGTGATAGAAAGCTGACTAACACAGTTGCAATTGGAACAAACGCTGACAGATTTATTTTCCAGGAACAAATGAGAGCTCCATGGCTTCTCCTGCAATGGCCCAAAATAGATATCCCCAGGGGTTCCACCGGGAAATTGGCATTTGTGAAGGAGCCCTTCCATCATATGAGAGCACATTCTGTAGTTTCCTAAGGATCATCAGTGACATTCACGTAAAACCCAGCACTAATACTAAAGCGCCAGCTCTCATCTCCTTCAGTATCGCCACCTCGAGGGCAGGTAGTGGAGCAGTGACAACAGCTGTGTTTGGCGGCGGCTTGATGATAACCAGACTTTAATGTAAAGTCCTTTTTTGTGCAAGTTCACTGAGGAGGGCACCTCCCGGGTTCTGTCCTTTGGTGTTGAGTGGACAGTGAGTTTGCCTTGCAGTGCGATTTGGCACTGTGTGTTTAGAACCCTGTCATTAGCCAAAGCTCTCTGTCTCTGGAAACCTGCTTTAGTGACCACCTTCTGTCCAACTGCCACTGGCTTTTTTTTGGGTGTGTTTTTGGAGGAGATTTAATTTAGATCATTTTCAAGAAATAATTGTAAGCCATTTTTCTGAATGAATAATGATAAAATAGTCAATGGAGTGCTGAAAAGTGGAGAGTAAGTAATGGATGTACAGATAGGTTCATAGGATCATCGGTGATGTCCTTGAGGTTGGTTCATGATAAATGACACTCTGCTGAGTTAGTGTTGTAACTTGGAAATTTGTTTGATATTACATAAGATTGAACAAAGCACTGCTTTATTCTTGGAATTGATCTTCTGTTAGTCATTTTGTGGGTTCGTATGCTGCTCTAGATAGGTAGGTATTAGAATATCCTGTCCATTCGCTAATGATTGGGAAAATGTTTCTTTTATGAGTGTGTGTGTGAGTATGGGTATGTGTGTGTGTGTGAGTGTGTGAGTGTGTGGCAGGCATTGGGGCCGCAAACCCAGGGCCTCATGCATGTGGGCCAGTGCTCTACCGAGTCTGTAGCCACAGCCCCACTGATGAAATGCCGTCTGTAATCTGTCAACTCTTGGGAGTAGTTTTAAGATATGATTTCCCTAGATCTTGCCAGCTCTTAGATTTCTACAAAAATAATTCTTCTAATCAAACAGTATTTTGTATTTTATTTCAACATTTGATGAAATAGTTTAGACTTTCTACCTATTATAAGTGAATTTCAGTTCACCTACGTGAACAGTACATCAGAGTTTGTATATAATGTCTAAATTGGAAGCTAAAAAGAAACCAGCAGATATGGAATGCTTATAATTTGTTTGTAGAAACAGTTGACATGTATAGGGTAAGCAGGAGAGATAAAAAAGGTTTAAATTGGCTTTTTTAGTCGTTTCTTTTTCACTTTTTTTTGGTGCTGGTGACGAACGCCAAGGCCTGGGAATGCCAAGCACAAGCTCTGTGAGTCACAGCCCCAACCTGGTGACCTTTTTTTTTTTAAATTAGTGAAATGTAAATCGCATCTTCCAAGTCATCTGGATTTTAATCTAATTTTGATAATGATATAGGGCCAAATCTAATGCACTTGTGTCTTTGTCCCCCACATGTGACTTGAAAATGCCCTTCAGTAAGGTTGTGATGTCCCAGGAAGGCTCAGCGGGGTCCTGGAGATGACATTCAGATGGCGGGGTTTCTAGAACAAACATATAACTTGTAAGAAGGAGCAGAAGGAGAGAATTAGAATAGTAAAATCCTTTAGCAGCACTAGAAACAAAAAGACATTGGAACAATGTAAAGTACTGAGAGAAAAGCACTACAGACCAGAAATCCTGTACATGGTCCAGCAATAAATGTCAAAGCCGAAAAATTGGAATTGTAGGAAATGCAAGGAACACCATGAGGGTCAAATGCTAGGGCATACACTGGAGTGCTCTGTCACATGAAAACCGACCCGTGACATAGTTCCAAAGACAAAAGAGGCAAATGGGAGTTTGTGTAATACTGGATCAGCATCTAAATGGAAAGGGCCCAACAAAAATCTTTGTCCTGGGCCGAGGTTCAGTGGTAGAGCCTTGCCGGCTCAGTCCCCAGCTCAGTCCCCAGCCCTGCAAAAATAAGTAAAGGCGGGGCTTGCTTTGGTGGCTCCTCCTTTGGCACCTGCCCCTCCCCTCTCTCCATGGGTCCCTTCTGTGGATGGGGGTGCAGTGAAACCCTCATTCTGTTATTAAAATGGCGCCCTCACTGGCACCCAAGGTCCATATGAAGAGTTCTCAAAGTTCCAAGCCCTCTAGGGCGCAGATTGAAACAGATGAGGAATTCCCAGCCGGGCACCGGTGGCTCAGGTTCCCCGGGAAGTCTGAGAACGCCGCTCAGCCTGTGGCCAGGACTTGTGCACAGCTTTGCCGCCGTGTGTCTTCGCTGAGAAGTAAATTGCCTTTTTCTTCTCTTTTCAAATGTAGGTTATATATTTGGGGAGAACTCCTGAAGATGCCTATAGAATATTAATCTTTGGCGATACATCCTATATCCCTTTCAGGTAAATATAAGAATGATGGGTGGATTTGGTCACTCAGACCCTTCAGGAATCTCTGGGTGGTGTTTCTGAAAGCAGAAGACCTGGTGGGTAGCATCGTAGGGTCTCTGGGTCTCTGCAGTGACACTGTTGACATTTTGAACATCGTAGGGTGTTGAGCAGTGTCCTTGCCTTCTGCTCAGCAGACCTCAGTGACACCCCCACCCAGTGATCAACACCCAAAGGTTTCACGGTTTCCAGTCCCTGCCGGGTGTGCCTGGAAGTGCTGGGGTGGAGGGGAGCCAGGTCTCCTCTTGCCTTGATGGAAAGAGGCTTTGTGATCAGCTGAGGCCCTGAGGGGACAGTGCTCAGCGTTAACACTGGCAGGTGGCTCCTGAGGAGTTGAGCAAGGCGATGAGACTCCCCCGGGACCAGGAGTCGACTCTGTGGGGCTCAGGCGGACGATGGCAGGGTCTTTTCATAAAGCAGTGACATCCTCACCTCAAACTTACCATGAGCTTGTCCTAAAGGTATTTTAAAGAAAAGTTGTTCTTTTTCTTTAAATAAATAAAATTGAATTGTATGAGTTTCTCTACTCATTTATCAAGTTGCTTGATTTAGCTAGATAATCTAAAGCCCTGTATGGTGCTTAACGAGTAGTGAATGTGTGAAATAACTTTGCTTGTTGCACACTTGATTGAGCCATGGTTGCCTTGTTCTTCCATCCACAGATTGGTCGGTTGTTGCGGGTTATTATGCAACCTGGAAGGCCTTTAAACAAAGATCTAAGGTTATGAATCTGATGTTCTTGGGGCTGAGCCTTGGATTGGGTCTCTCTAGCCACAGGCAGTTTCCTCCAGGAACTCTGTGGACGGCCCATGGACTTGACTCCTTGAGGGAGACTTTAGGGACAGTCTTCAGAATCCAGTATTGCATTGGAGGGAAGACTGTATTAGTAATTGAGCAAATTAGAAGACATGGTTTGAACCCTCTGTCCCCAGAGTGTGCCATTCATCTTCAGCCCATAATAAATCAGCAGCCATGTGTTTCAAAAAAAAAAAGAAAAGAAAGAAATGCTGTATTTGTGGTTCCCGAGTCACAGGGCCTTGGGTCACCCTGTTGATAGTTTTTCCCAGTTTACAGCATGAGCGCATGCATTTGAATAAACACAGGTTTGCATAATCTTAAGCAAGGATTGTGACACACTGTTGATGTGAGGAAGGGTCTGTGTTCATACAAGCCCTGAGAACAATAAATGTTGTCCACTGCTATTTCTGTGTGTAAAATCATTGAAATTTGGCACTGAGAAATGAAACCAGTCGTTTCTGGTATAGGATCACCAGCCAGAAATCCTCTAAACAACCAGACTTAGCTGGAAGCCATTCAGCTTTGTGAAGTTGGAATCTCTTTAGACAAAGATAGCCAGAAACTTGATGCACTTTCTCAAAGTGTGGTCTGAGTAGTGACCCCAGTCTGTGAACTTTCTGTCACCACCCTGTGCTGAGATAAATAAATTGAGAGTTAGATTTTAGAGACATTTATAGTAATTTAGTAATTTTGGATCTGTGAAAATAAGTAATGGAAGTTTATACATATATATAAATTAGTTTTTTTAAACCCTTCCATTTTTCTAATAATTCGGGTTTATACATATATATGTACATATATTTAGTTGTTGATGGACCCTTATTTTATTTTCTATGTGGCACTGGGAATCGAACCCAGTGCCTCACACATGCTAGGCAAGTGCTCTACCACTGAGCCACAACCCTAGTAATTCAACTAAGTTCACTGCATCATTGTGGGTATGCAATAGGTTATTTATATTTTACATTTATTGTACTTTGCAAAAGGAGCAGCCTATAATGGACTTAAAGTATTAAAATGTGGTGCTTCATCCCATTTTATTGTTCTGTAGGACTTTCTAATTAGAAAGAAGGCCAGTTTGGATTAAGCCTGACAATACTTTGAAAGAGATTAGATCATTTTTATCTTTGCCACTTGAAGGGTAAAGAATCAGTGTAACAAAGTATGGATAACAGCAGCTTTTGCAAGAGTAGCATTCTTTTACAGCAAATAAATTTAATGTTCAGAAGCAATATTTAAATTTAATTGAACCTGTCTCTTCAAGCACTGAGTTTAAAGTGTGCTTCCTTATGTGATTTCTATTGCAATAAATATTTAGCTAAGTAAGAAAACAGTGGGCACCGTTGTGTTTTCTGGTTCCCTCAGGTGCTCCTGTTCCTTGGTGTCCTCGGTACCCCTCTGGGCTCCTGAGCTGGTGTGTGTGTGTGGCAGGGCTGGCACCCAGGGCCTGTGCCCCGTTGGCAAGTGCTCTGCCACTGAGCCACGGGCCGGGGTTTCCTTTCTCTTCTTGGGCTCCGCCTTCTTTTCTGGAGAGATGTGTAGGAGGCTGTCTGTCCGGAGCTCACCTGGGGACATCAGGCAGATGGGGCTTGGGCTCTGCTCTGCTGCTACTTGGTCCATGTACAGCTTTTAAAAACACTCATCCTAAGTGCTCAGCACAGCCCAGTTCTGTGTGGTCTTGAACTACCACAGGATGCAGAAGGCCGCCACCACCCCCAAGATGCCCTCCTGCTGCCCCTGTCACCTCCCAAGTAGCCTTGGCTGTTCCTTCTGTCACCACCAGCTTGGCTTCCCTTGAACTTCAGTATCTGGAACCCTTGGTCCGTCTCCTGGGAAGCTGGAGGCTGGCCTTTCAAAGGCACCCTGTCAGAGGTGTCACAGGTCTGTCCCCGCGAGGCTGTGGAGGGGGCTGCCATAGCCTCTAGTGCGTGGTTTGTCTTTTGTTCCTTCTTGTGTGTGTGGTTGTGGGGATCGACCCAGGGCCGAGGCGAGTGCTCTACCACAGCCCTGCACCCCCAGCCCCGTCTCCTGTTATTCTTGGATGTTTTGGGGGTCATTTGCAGTTTTTAGTCCTGATTTGAAAGCTGATATTTTTTAAGCTAGTATTCGGTGTTGCTTTGCCATTTCTGAGCAGCCCCCCCCCCCCCCTTGTGGATCGCATCTGTTTTCCCGAGTTTGATAGATGATGTTGACAAGAGCTGCCCGCCAGGCTCCCGTCCAGGTTCAGAGCTTCTCTTCTGCCTATTTGAAGAAGGCCGCTTGCTTGGGTGGGAGGAGGCGAGGGAGGCGCCAGTTCAATAATAACAGTTCAATAGTAGAATATTTTAACTGAAAAAGATGTGCTTTCTTTCCCTCACTGTTGGTTTAATATTGCTTCAATCAACAGTCCCTGAAGGTTTGGATAAGAACTAAGAGTTAATGTGTAGGCTGGGTGAATGACACGTGTACCCTGTAATTCCAGCTACTCTAGAGGCTGAGACAGGAGATCACAGGTTTGAGGCCAGCCTCAGCAACTTAGCCCAGATCCTGTCTCAATATAAAAAGGGTTTGGAATGTAGCTCCGTGCTAAAGAGAGCCTGGGTTCAATCCCCAATATTGTGGGGGTGGGAGGGATTCAGTTTAATTTTTCAGGTATTTGTGTGAAAACCCAGCCAAGGTGAACAATTAATGATGCCTGTGGGCAGCCTGGTTCCACCTGGGGCCCAGGTGAGAGCTATTCCAGGAGGCCTGGTGTTTGGCCTACCTAGAATGATCACAATCAAATTCTTACCTTTTCTAATTTCAGAAGATTTTATCCTTTAACAGCTCAGGGTAACTCAAAAGCAAGCCAATAGGAGGGTAGCTTATTTTCTTGGGTACAGTCTTAGCCGATGTGAAGAGATGAGTGGTCAGATCACATCTGTGTGGTGGTCGGAGGGAGCTGTCTAGTCAGCTGTCGTGAGCACTTTTCCAGAGTGGAGTGTTCCCACCCAGGGGAGTGGGTGCCTTTGTCCTGTGGTCTTATTGTCCTTCAGAGTCAGAAGAAGCTTCCATTAAATGGTTAAAGTCTGAACATAATGATGGCAACAAAGTGCTTGCGAGTTTTCGCCGATTTTCCAGATACTACCTTGACTTCTCAGTGCGTCTTTCTGCTTGGAGACACATGCACAGACACAAGTGCGTATTTGGACACACATACACATGTGATTCGTCATTCAAACGCAATCTTTTCTGATAATAATTTGATAAGAAAAAATATTCAGATGCCCCTCTCTTTTGTGAGGAGGAGTAGATGTTTCTTGTCTAAATTCAAGAATGAATCCAGGTCTTAAACCAGACGCCACCCAGAGAGGTCACCAGACAGTCAGACGTATTTGATTTTAAATCCTGGTCAGCTTTGTTTTGAGGTGAGTTTGCTGCGGAAAGTGCACTGAGTTAATGTGTTTCCATACTTTGGGAATTTCAGAGATGCTGCCTACGGAAGCTGCAATTTCTACATCACTCTTCTCGACTGTTTTCATGCGGTGAAGAAGGTAAGTGACTCGGAAGTGCTCCCAGGGCTGTGCTAGAAGTGAGGACAGCTCAAGGGTCACCCAGCTTTCTTCCCCAAAGATCCATCTGCTGGAATTTTTTGCAGGATGTGTCCCCTGTCAGAGGCATTCCATTTTCCAGCTCGCATCAGAATGACACCAAACCAGGAGAGTTTGTTCTGGGTGCTGCTGCGCACGATTGGGTACAAGGGCAGGGGTGCAGCTCAGCATTAGAGCATTTGCCAGGCAGGTACAAGCCAGGCCCTGGGTTTGATCCCCAGCAGCCCCAGAACTACAGAGCAAGGGCGGGGGGCAGGGGGTGGAAAGGATATTAAGAGACAGTTTAGGAATTGGGTCCTAGATCCAGAATTCATTTTGAGCATGTTGTAATTTGAAAGAAACATTAAGTAAATAGATGACCAGTTCCAAATTCTCTTTTATGTGTTTTATGTGTCTGAGTCTCACTAATACTACTCTACAAACGTACGTCTATAATACAGTAACTGAAACACAGATTTTGTTTTTCCAGGTGTTCAGTTTTCGGTTCAGCATAGGAATTTGGTTACTCAACTAGTTAAAGACTATGTAAAACTCAGTGGGTCACTGTTACTTCATCAAAATGGTTTTCAGGGCGGGGATGGGGAGTTCAGTGGAAGAGCATGCACTCAGCATGTGGGAGGCCCTGGGTTCAGTCCTCAGCACCCCAAAGCCCAAACAAAAGACAACTGCTTGCCCAAACTGTCTCAGATAACTTGTGTATTAGGCCGTGTGTGTCTGTGTCCAGGGGACAAGGTCAGATCACAGTGCAAATCAGCAGGGCTGTCACACCACACCTCAGGCCTGCTTATTGGCTGGGGACAGCACAGGCACTGGATCAGTAGCTGCAGACAGAAGAAGCTTCCACCAGAAGCTCAAGTTCTGTGGCGGCTTTTCAGAGGCCGGAGGAACTGGGTTTTGCTTCCTGGTGTAATGAAACAGACTTTCTGGGAATCTGGGCAGAAATTGTGTCTTTAAAGGAGACTAACTGGCCTAAAACCCAGAGTCTGACCGTGGACTCCTTTTCCTGGACTGGGCAGTGACACGTGGGTGTGATCCTGGATTTCAGTCCAGTGACTGGGCAGGTGGAGCTCTTTGTGTAGGTGCCACCAGCCCTGAGCCAGCTCACGGGACCCGGGACCTCAGCCTAGGCAGGTGTTGGCCCAGGGGAAGGGGACATGGAGGCTGAGGGACGACAGCTGCAGATGACAACTTCTCGTTCTGGTTGTGGTCCCTGCCAGCTGGGCCCAGAAATGGCTAACGTAGCAGCCACATCCCCTTCAAGAGGAAGGAAGGGAACGGTTGAGGGCCTGGGACCCGTCCACTCTGACACCGACACCGTCGCAGTTCATTGTTGTTTACTGACTTGGGGGTTGTGTTCCTCGTTTGATCTGTGTTGCACCTGAGCCCAGTTAACTCTGTGCTAGGACGAAGATTCCCTTTTTACCCAATATTTGGTTTTATTCGAGGGCTCACATGTCTGAGTTTCAATTTAAACATTTTTCGTGTGTGGCTGGTTTTGAGGGTTACTGTAGATATGAAATATCATTGTGATTGTGCTTTGATTTTAGTGCTGCTTCTTGTAGGATGACCTTATAAAATTTAAAGGAAGGGACTGGGGAAGGGCCTCGTGGTAGAGTGCCTGCCTAGCCCATGTGGAACCCTGGGTTTGATTCCCTAGCACCACCAAAAAAGAAAAATTCAAAGACAAATAAGAATTGCAAGTAAACTACATTGGGAGAGGGCTGTGCTGGGGGTCGAACCAGGGCCTTGTGTGTACCAACCACTGAGCTTCCCCCGCAGCCCGTAAACCACATTTGACTGTGTCATTCTGTAGGAAAATCTCCAAATATCATGAAGTACATTAAATATATAAATGTCTTAAATTCAAGGAAGGAAAATTCATCATGGATTTGGTCTTGTACCACTTACCCTTGATTTCATTTTCCATGATCAGTAGCAATCTGAAAATATTAAATGGAAAATTCCAGAAATAAATAATGCCTAAATTTCAAATAACTTTTAGTACAGTATATTATAATTGCTCTATCTTATTCTGGGTTATTGTTAAACTTTTATTGTGCCTGATTTATAAATGAAACTTCATCATAGGAACGTTTGTATAAGAAAAAGCACAGCATACTTAGGGCTCATTGATTTTAAGCACCCACTGGGAGTCTTGGGGGACATAGTTCCTGCAAATTATGAGGAGGAAGTGCTGTAACTCTGTTTTATAAAACAAGGACTTTTTGGTGGTTGTTCTACCTCCTTATTTTACATTGATATTTCTGAAGACGGGGTTTACAGGAGTCATCCCTTGTGAACCAGTTGCCGTGGTGTTTAAGAATTCTAGCTCCTGTCCTGTGTGGCTCAGCCATCAATGAGCTGGGCGAACATGCTCTGCGAATCTTGCTTAATGTCCTCTCCTGCTGTGACTCAGCAGGGTCACAGGATAGGACAGAAAATTTTCTTATGAAAAGAATACTTTTTTTTTTTTTCCTTAAAACTTTGAATTTTCGTGTTACATCTGGGCTGTTTTAAGTATAGGGAACATTGGTCTCTAATAAGACTTTAAGAATTTGCAAGTGAAGGAGTTGATGGAATGTGTGGGCTCTGTTTGGGGTGGAGCGGCCCATGGTTTCTTTCCTCTTTAGTAGCTACTTAGAGACCTTTTGGGTCGAGCATTGTGTTTTTGCTCTCAACGTCCTAATCTTCCACCATGGTGGGGTTGAGCTAATAGTTGGTTAGGATTACTTTACAGGTATGATTATTTCACTATGTATGGATAGGATCTTTGGTGAATGGAAATATAGACACAAAATTTCCTTAAACGTTGTCATGAGTCATTTCCAGATAGTGGAAGCATTTGAAAGGCATGTCCCCACTTTGTTTGAAAACTGTTCAGTGGACAGAAATCCGAATGTAATAATGCTTTTCTGGGATACCTCTTCGTTATTAGGAAATTGTTTCCTTATTTGCATCTTTGTTCTTAAAAGCTTTCTTTTGGATTTTAGGCAATGCAGTATGGCTTCTTAAATTTCAACACATTTGACCTTGAGGAGTACGAACACTACGAAGTAAGTTTTCAAGAGTAATGTTTTCAGCCCCCTTCGCTCTAGGGTGCTATAAATGACAAACGTAGATATTTAAGGTGCATAATGTTTGCACAGTAGAAGATGATTACCACAAGGTAATCGGCACAGCCATCACTCCCAGTTGGCTTCTCGTGTGTTGGTGAGAACACTCGGGGCTGTGCTCGGCACATTCTCCCATCATATAGTACCTGCTTTGCCAGATCTGCAGAACTTACTCATCTCACTACCCAGAGACCATGCTCTGATGAAAAACCCCATTTCCCCCCCTGTTTTCAACTCTATTCACCTGTGGTATTTGCAGAAGTAAGTAAAAATCTTATGTTTTGAAAAAAAATTCAGAATGGTTTGTATGTGTAGACTAGCCCTTCATGCCTTCCCCCTTACCCGTCTCTCCAGCCCTGGTTCACAGGGGTATGGCGGGCGGGGGTTAGTGGTTGCAGCATGGAGGAGAGTGCGCCTGTGCATTATTTGTAATATTAAGTTAAAAAATGTTAGCATTGTCTACTCCCATAGACTGACAGAGCGAGACAAAGTTCATGAAGCCCTTGGCATAGGGTGTGAGGAGGTGAGTGGTCACTTCCCATCTAATGACCTCTGAGAAATGTCACTTTTGTTTGTATTAAGTCAGGACACTTGTCTCGCAATCATAGGAAGCAAACACAAGTGGCTTAAGTGAGCAGAGATATTTTACTGGATCCCATCAATTAAAAACATAGGAGTAAGGCCGGGCGCTGTGGTACTTGCCTGTAATTCCAGCAGCTCAGGAGGCTGAGGCAAGAGGACTGCAAGTTCAAAGCCAGCCTCAGCAACTTAGTGAGGTGCTAAGCAACTTAGTGAGACCCTATTTCTAAATAAAATACAAAATAGGGCTGGGGGTGTGGCTCAGTGGTTGAGCACTTCTGAGTTCAATCACTGGCACCCCCCCCCCAAAAAAAAAAAAAAAAATCCAGGAGCAGATATTCCTGATGCTCAAGCATGAACCTGTCTAGTGCTCAGACACTTAGAGAAGCTGGACTAAAGCAGGCGCTGTTCCCAGACCAGCCCTTGAGAGCCATCAGGGTGACTGCAGCAGCCTCCACCCACCAGGTCAGCACACTCAGGAGAGAAGAGTGCTGAGTTCCAGCACAGACCCGGGAGTGCGCCCGTCGGCCTGGCCCAGCACCAGCCTGTGCTCCGTGGAGGGGTGTGGAATCTTCTGGCCAGACTTAATTCTCTGGCCTGCCCAGAAGCTGGGGTACTGGGGTCAGCCTTATCAGACAGTCCAAACAAAAATGAAGAAAGTTGGGGGTGTGTGTGTCAGGTAGGCAGAAACCCCACAGGTACCATCTACATTTTTAAAAATAGTATTTTTATTTCTAAAACATTTTAAAATGTTGAGCCTGGTGTATTGGCACACGCCTACAATTTCAGTGACTCGGGAGACTAAGGCAGGAGGACCACAAGTTTGAGGCCAGCCTCAGCAACTTAGTGAGACCCTTCTGAAAACATAAGGGCTAGGGACATTGTTGAGCCACAGCCGTAGGGGCTCCAGCAAACTTCCAGCTGATTGGCTCACAGCGGCCCCAGCAAAATGCCGAAGTCTGGCTGGGCACAACTCAGGAGCCACTTATCAAGCAGAAATGAACTTTATTTTTAGAACACACAGGCCACACCACAGAGCTCTTCAGGAATTCCCTCAGAGCCCAACTGCCACCACTGGCTTCCGGTGAGCCTCTCAACCCACCACTCCTCCCTCTCTTGAGGCCATTGGCTGGGTTGTGTGGGCGGGGCCAAAAGAGTCCCCCAATGAGCAGCTCCGTGGTCTGAAAGGGCGGGGAAACAGCCCAATGAGCATCACTGCAGAGGAGCCAATCAGCTGGAAGTTTGCTGGGGCCGCAGTGAGCCAATCAGCTGGAAGTTTGCTGGGGCCCCTTCGGCTGTGGCTCTCAACAGGACATGGCTCAGTGGTAAGCATCCCTGGGTTCAATCCCTAGTACTGGGGCAGGGAGGGAATAAATAAATAGTTTGGTTTTTAAGGCTCCTTTCTCCTTGTGGGTAATGGGAAAGGTGTGTGCTGAGGCCTCCTTCAGGTGGAAGCACTTGGAGATTCTGGTTCATGTTTTTGGTACTGGGTGGAACCCAGGGGTGTCTAACCCCGACGCACACCCCAGCCCTTTTCATACCTTATATTTAGAGATGTGGCATCACAGAGTTGCTTAGGGCCTCGCTAGGTTGCTGAGGCTGGCTTTGGATTCTCGCTCCTCCTGTCTCAGCCTCCCCAGCTGCTGGGGTTACTCCTACCATGGTTATTTTGAGCCTCAAACCCTCAGATAATGGATAAGTGGTTCCTCTGGCAGCATTTCATGTGGTCATATGGAATCCTTAAGAATAAGAGATTTGCAATTGATGAATTAGGTTAATAATGATAGTTCTTGCAGTGGTGTACCAAAGATGTAAAAAGCACATTTTAGGACTCACCGAGTTTAACTTATCTTTATGTCTCTATAACAGTAACTCACCCGAGACTCTGTAGAGTGTATTGGAGTCATGCACTTCCTTTCTGTGCCTATCCCTATAAAATCGAACGTTTACAATAAAACATGTTTTCTCTATCTAGGTAAGCCAAACGCTGGAACACCAGCTGGTGTCCTCCCTGGATGTCGCCCTAGTGAGAAGGGAGGTGGGAGGAGAGAGAGCCCACAAGTGAACTGTGCTGCTCTTCCCTTTGCAGAGAGCAGAAAATGGAGATTTAAACTGGATAATACCAGACCGCTTCGTTGCCTTCTGTGGACCTCACGCAAGATCCAGACTTGAAAGTGGTATGCCGTCCTGTGGGGCCAGTGGATATAAATGTCCCTTCTGTGTTTTCCTTTGAAGAAGACCAGAGAGTTAAACTCAGCTTGACTGAGTTTTTATTATCCAAACACACTTGGTCATTTGAATTCATCATTCCACTTGGATTTTAACTCGTTTTATTCTGTTTTTTTACAGTTAGAATCCAATTGGTATTCACTCCCCAGCCCAGATACTGTTCCCAGTGTGCATGTGTGAATGTTACAGGTGAAACTACTGTTCATGGTTTTCTTCCTGCCTTTCACAAGATCTGGTGCATTTCTTTATGTAGGTTACCACCAACATTCTCCTGAGACTTACATTCCATATTTTAAGACTCATAATGTCACTACCATTATTCGTCTGAATAAAAGGATGTATGATGCCAAGCGCTTCACGGATGCTGGGTTCGATCACCACGATCTTTTCTTTGCCGACGGCAGCACCCCAACCGATGCCATTGTCAAAGAGTTTCTGGATATTTGTGAGAATGCCGAGGGTGCCATTGCCGTGCACTGTAAAGGTGGGTTCCAGGGGTGGTTGAGGGTGGCGTGCACGTGAACGCTCGGTTCCATGCCAGGACACATGGCGCGGCCTATATTTTTAAAGCAAGGCTTTCAAAACCCTGGATCCATGTGAAAAGTCTAGTAAATTATTTTTATAATGAAAGGCACTCATCTGTTTGCCAGATACCCATTGTGTGCCTGTGGTATGGCCAGTTCTGGGAACGCCGGTGAGTACGGCAGATTCTCAGGAGAGGTGGTCTTCATGGAAACCTCTGTGTTTTCCGCAGTTACAACAGTGCCTGGTACATAATGTTTTCCAAATGAATGGCTGTGGGATAATGCAGCATATAAATATGCTAGGATGTACTGAAGTCTTAAGGAATATATTATTGTTAAGAAAAATCCAACATTAGGGAAAAACCCAGCAAACTCTGAACTCCAGAGTTAACCACTGTATTTGTAGTTACAACTATAGCCACAATGTGATAATATCCATGTTCAGTTTCCAGTGAAGAATTCTCATGCATTCAAAGAAAGCAGAAAAGTGTAATCAATTCAAAAGGAAAAATGAGTGAACAGAAACTGTCCCCGAGAAAGACAAGCCATGGGCCTGCTAGACAGGTATTTTAAAACCACTTTTTTAGATGATGCCAAAGAGTAAAAAGAGAATGTGGAACATGTCAAGAAAATGATGCATGAACAAAATGGACATATCAACTTAAAAAAATATAGAAAGCAGGAGGAAACCAGGAAGAAATTCTGGAAATGAAAATTTTATTGGAGGGATTCCAGAGCAGTTTGGGGAAGCAGGTAAAGAGTTAGTGATTATAAAAACAGAAGCATGATGGACGGGCTCAGGAGGTCAAGGGTAGTGTGTTTTCTGTCATGCGGAAGCTAAAGAGGAAAAGGAAAAGAACGGTGCGGGGTATCTCACCAGAATCAAAGGAGGTCGATAAAGGAAAGGGACCGAGGGGAGGGAAGGGACTGCCGAGGAGTGATTTGTTGTGTCTGTGTTGTGTGTGAACGTGGCGCAGCAAGTCCCAGCAGCACGTACAGCTGTGACACAGGAATTAAAAACTGTGGGAAGAAAATAGAACTGTGAAGAGACAATCGATTCCGAGGAAGAGAAGGATAACAGGGAAGAGCCCTGAGCAGAGTCCTTGGGACACAGTCCGGCTGCCCTGCTGTGGGTCCTGGGAGCTCCTGGTGGGGGGGGGGGGGGGGAAGGGACGGCACAGCTGAAAACGTCCCAAACTGATGAAAGACATGAATATGGACATCCAAGGAGCTCAGCCACTCCGAGAGGACAGACTCAGCTGCTCACATGAAGACACACTGTAATCAATTTGCCTAAAGCTGGAGACACAAAGTGCTTTGAAAGCAGCCAGAGAGACAGAGGTTATTCACCGTCTCAGCAGAAACCGTGGAAGCCAGAGGCAGGGGGTTGATAGATCCAGTCAGCCCAGAACCCTAGAGCTTCCCTGTAGTCTGCAAAAGTCCCTAAAAAATGAGGGAGACACTGAGACATCCCCAGGTAATCAAATGCGGGGGGGAGTCGTTACTGCTAGACTTGTACTACAAGAAGTGCCCGAGAACATCCTTCAGAAAGCAGAAATGAAAGGACACTAGGCAATAACCTGAAGGCACGGGAAAAATAAATGTCTTTGGTTAAGGTAAATAACGAACAGTTATAAAGCCTAGTCTCACTGCAACTTATGATAACTTGTAAAATTGCTTTTACTGCATCTTTTTTTGGGGGGTGGTGTCTGGTGTTGAACCCAGAAGTACTCTGCCGTATCCCCAGCCCTTTTTATTTTTTTACGTTGATACAGGGTTTTGCTAGGTTGCACAGGCTGGCCTTGAACTTGCAATCCTCCTGCCTTAGCCTCTTGAGTCACTGGGATTACAGGTGTGCTCCACCGTGCCCGGCTTATTACTATAATTATTGTAATATAAACATTAGAGTTTGCAGAATAAGCAGTGGAAAAACAAAATAAAATGCAACCAAACTCAGGAGTGGTTCTTTAAAACTTAGCTACGTTGCTAAGCTGCTTGATGGACAGAGATCACGAACGTCAGGAATGGAAGTGGAGACACTACTGGGTTTCTACAGGAATAACAGGACAATAAGAGAGTCCCCTGAGCAATTCTGGGACAAGCTGGGTAATCCAAATGAAATGGACCCATTCCTAGAAACAGAACCTACCAACCTTGAATCATAATGAGAAAGAAAATCTGAACAGGCCACTAGATCATGAGATGGAGTCAGCAAGCCAATTGGCCCACAGGGCAGCGCTTGGTAAGTCTTCGGGCGAGACCAGAGTTGCCCTAAGACCAGAGCAGACAAAGCTGACGTGAGAAAAGTTGACTAGACCAGTAGCCTTTGCAAACATTGATGGAGAAATTCAGAACGAAGTGCCAGTAAACTGAGTCAGCAGTGTACTGAAGGGATCATCCACCATGAAGTAGTGTTTATCCCAGGGTTACAAAGGTGGGCCAGCGTACAAAGACCAGTACAATACTCTACGTTTACACAAGGAAGGACGGCCCACATGAATGTCCATCAGTGCAGAAAAGACATCTTGGGTTGGGCATAGGTGGTGCATGCCTGTCATCCCAGCAGCTCATGAGGCTGAGGCAGGAGGATCATGAGTTCAAAGCCAGCTTCAGCAACTTAGCAAGGCCCTAAGCAATTTAGTGAGACCTTGTCTCTAAATAAAATACAAAAAGAGCTGGGGTGTGGCTCAGTAGGTAAGTGCTCCCCAGTCCAATCCCTGGTATCAAAAAGGAAAAAAAAAAAAAACCATTCTAAGGAAATATTGGTGTCTGAATTACCTGTCAGACTCAAGCAATTGTCTTAAAAATGGTCAGTAAGTTCAAGGAGAATATAGATAATTAAATGAAATCAGGAAAATGATACATGGAAAAAAGATTGGTAAATTTTATGGTAAGTGTTTTAGCTGTACCTTAAAAAGCCACTCAAGCAGACATAATCCAACACTGGTCATTTCGTTTTTAAATTATACGGTGCAGTCAAGCTTATTCTCAGCCAGGGCACTTTTGCCTCCCCCAGGGAACATTTGGCAATGGTACAGAGACATCTGTTTCTTAGTGTTCACAAGTTGGCAAGAGGTGCTTGTTCTGTCTCGCGGGTAGACATCAGGGAGTTGCTAGACTTCCCACAAGGCACAGGATTAGCCACCCCACAGGGCCATTCCCGACGCGGTGGAGGGCCCTGGCTGAGGTCTAGTTAGAACCCGAAGAGGATTTGATGCAGGAGCGCTGGATGAAGACCCTAGGAGGCGGGAAGCGGAGGTGCATTAAGAAGCATGTCTGTCTTGTGGGCTGCTGGGACAGAGCGCCACACCCTGGGTGCCTTAAGTAACAGACCTTATTTTCCCCACAGTTTGGAGGCCTGTGACCCCAGGCAGCCTGAGGTGGTGATGCCCGCAGGGTTGGGCTCTGGCACAGTTTCTGTCCTTGACTTGCTGAGTACTGTCTTCCCTGAGCTTTCTCAGGGCTTCTTGGGTCTCTTCCTTTTCTTGCAAGGAAAGGCCCCTCCTTTCCAACCTCGCTCAACCTTATTTCTCTCCAAATATGATCACTTGAGCAGTTAAGGCCACGTACACTGAGGTAGTGGTGAGTTCAGGTCCTGTGATTCTGCTTTCTGGCCCCTCAAAATCCATGTCTTTGTGGCCTTCACTCACTGAGTCACAGCAGCCCGATGTCTTCGTCCATTTGAACACCTACTCCAAGTCCACAATGTTATCTGGGGCTGGGAGGTAGCTTGGTTGTAGAGCGACTGCTTAGCCCATCCTCTAAATCAGGTTCGAGAGACCCTGGAGGTGAAATCCTCCCTGCAGCAGGTCTCCTCTGCAGCTGTGAGCCTGTGAAATCAAGCAAGCCGTGTGCTTCCACGACGCAGTGGCCGAGGAAGTGTAGGGTGGACACTCCTCTTGCAGAAGGGAGAGGTCAGGAGAGGCCCCCAAGCAAGTCCAAAACTAGCAAAGCAAACACCATTGGATTTTTTTTTATTAATATTTTTTAGATGTTAATGAACCTTTGTTTCATTCATTTATTTACACGTGGTGCTGAGAATTGAACCTAGTGCCTCACACATGCTAGGCAAGTGCTCTACCATTAAGCCCCAGCCCCAGCCCCACCATGCTCTCTCTAGAACTTATTAGGGTGGTTTTTCTCTTTTTTTCCTTTCCTCTCAATATGGCTAGCCTGAGAATTTCTGAACCTTTAGTTTCTGGTTCCTTGTTGCTTACCAAGTCCTCTTCACCCATCATTTTGCACTCAACTAGCCATCAAGGAGAAGCCAGGCTGTACCTTTTCGCTTCTTTCACTGATTTCTACTAAATCTCCAGGGTTCTCATTCACAAACACTGCCTTCCGCAAAACACGGGGTTGTGTGCTGCTAATTTGCCACTTAATTACGACTTCCCTCCAGTTTCCAGTAATGCATCCTGCATTCCACCTGAGGTGGCCCGGCGTCACCCTCAGCATCCGTATTCCTAGCAACAGTCCTTTCAGGGCCTCCTCGGCTGCTTTTGTTTCCCCCTCCTCTTAGCAGTATTGGCAAATGAGCTAAAGGCCTTGCCCGTGCTAGGGAAGCATCTTCCGCACAGCCACACCCTAGTCCACAGCTTTTTTTAACATGCCTCAAAACTCTAAAGGCCCCTGTAATTCTGACCTTAAAGCCACTTCTGCACGCTGGTGTATTTGTTACAGCAGCATACCTTTTCTGATCCACATAAGTATTAGGATCTTCTAGGGAACAGAAGCAATAGGGGTGTGTGTGTATGTGTGTGAGAAGGAATTGGCTCACGCGAACATGGAGTCTCGTGAATCCCAAATCTGCAGTGCAGACTGGCAGCCACTGTGATTGGGCCCTTGGGTGAAGCGCAGATGCAGCTGGGAGGAGACTTCTCTGGGACATGGGTCTTTTTGTTCCATTCATTCCTTCAGCTGATTGAATGAAGCCCACCCACATTACGCGTGTGCTCCCTGAAAATTCTTCATTTAGATGTTAAATTCACCCAAGCACTCCTTCCCAGCAGACACGGCACACGACATTAGCCATCTCAGGGTGTAATGTCGATCGTCTGGACACGAGGAAGTCGATCGTCTGGACACGAGGAAAAGAGGGCAGTTGCAGTATATCTGGGGCTGGGGGCTGGGGCTGTAGCCAGGGCTGTAGCCCATCGGCAGAGTGCTTGCAGGTCCTAATTGGATGCGATTTTAAGGGCAAGACTTGGGTAAGATTCAGGGCCCTGCTTGAGAATCCAGCGACTCTCAGTCTCAGCCACACCTCAAGTTATGGGGGGGATTTTAGAAACTCTGTCCAGCACCAGTCTTTAAAGCTTCCCGAGGTTCCAGTGTATAACCACCCCTGAGACCCAGTGGTGAGATAAGCAGGATCATGGGAAGTCTTAAAATTATTTTTCACCTGCCCAGAAAATTTTAGAGTTTGCAAGACGAGGTTTCATCCGCTGGTTTGTTTTCCTAGCCGGCCTTGGTCGCACAGGCACTCTGATAGCCTGCTACATCATGAAGCACTACAGGATGACAGCCGCCGAGACCATCGCATGGGTCCGCATCTGTAGACCCGGCTCTGTGATTGGGCCCCAGCAGCAGTTCTTGGTCATGTAAGTAGACAGGAAGCTCTTGTCATTGCTTGGGGACACACACATGTCTGGAGACTGGGGAGTTAGTTTCTAGTAGGGGCAGTCTGGTCGGAAAGTGTCGCTCATGGATCCTTCTGGAAAGCTGTGTTTTGTCGTTGCTTGCATGCTCTAGGAAACAAGCCAGCCTCTGGATAGAAGGGGACTACTTTCGGCAAAAGTTAAGGGGGCAGGAGAACGGAGCACATCGGACAGCGGCTGCCTTCTCCAGACTCCTCTCGGGTGTTGATGACATTTCAATAAATGGTGTGGAGAATCGGGACAAGCAGGAACCTGAACCGGTAACTGAGCGGTCCCCAGCACTGTCCCCAGCACCATCCTCAGCTTGCTATTGTCGGTGCTTTATGTGCCGTTGAGCACCTTGTAGGGCGATGGAGAAAACTAGTCAGAAATCAGAAAGCACATATTATTATTAATAACAAAGCACATATTCTCAATCGAGGGGCCATGGTCACATAGTTCTTCATACGTATAACCCTCCCTAGGAACATTGTCCACACAAGAGCTAAAACAAATTTGTGTGTTGTCCCCAGAATTAAAAATTGGTTTTAGTTCTCTAGATGATCTGGTGGTTCCCTGCCCTGGCCCACCTCTCCCGACTGCTGACTCGGGAACTGGGAGAGGACTCATAGAGGGCTGTGGTACCACCTGTCGTAAGTGGCATGGTGACATTCTATAAAGAATTATTCCCAAACTGAAAACCCATGTGCCACTCCACTGTCCGTAAGCTCTGTCACCAGAGGGCCATCGGGGTTGGTGCCTGTGAACTTGATATGTGGCTCGTTCGATTTTGGAAAGAGAAAAATGTTTTAAAGTTGAGCAGAAACTCGTGTGTGTGTGTGTGTGTGTGTGTGTGTGTGTGTGTGTGTGTGTGAGAGAGAGAGAGAGAGAGAGAGAGAGGCTGCTATGCTTTTCTGCATTAATAAATGCGACCTGCATGGTTAGCTTGGTGTCTTTGTACTTACACAGTACAGCGATGATGAGGAAATCAGTGGAGTGACACAAGGTGACAGACTCCGGGCCCTGAAAAGCAGAAGACAATCAAAAACTAACACTATCCCGCTCACGTGAGTCTGGTTTCCTTTGCTGTGGTTGGTCCTGCTTAGTGTGGGTGGGTGGTCGCGGCAGAGTCCCCTGCACTCTCCTCCAGCCGTCAGCCGCCAGCCCCTGGTTGCCCTCTGCGGTGGGTGCTGATGGTGGTCAACATCCAGGGCTGCTCGCCTGGGAAGCCCTCGGCCGCCCGCCTGCCCACGTCTTTGTCATAACCCTGGAAGCTGTGCTGGGCCAGGCCAGCCTATGCTTGGTGGACCACGGTGCTGCCCTCGGGGGACGCCAGCAGAGTTGTGATGACGACTCTTGATGTCCACTACCCACCACAGGTTCCCTGTTCTGCTCCAGTGGAACCGTAGAGTCATCGTGGGGAGTGGGGACCGCAGTGAACTGGTCTAGATGATACTTGGGTAGATTTCCTGTTGGGGAGTTATTTTCAGATTGCTGCAGATACAGCTCGTGAGACTAGGAAGTGCCACCGTGGAGGGTGTGTCCCCGTGTGTCTTCTCTGCACGTCGCCGGCTTGGAGTCAAGCTCACGGCCATCCTGGGCTGTTGGGTGGTGTGGAGGGTCAGATTCCATGGCCATCGTACTTTTCCTAGGTTTTCTCGGCGAGTGTCCCCCTGACTTGGGTCCCTTCCTCCTAGTGACCTCCCTTCACTGTGGGCCAGCAGGTTTCTGGCCTTCGTCACGAGGAGCGCGTCATTTATTTAGGAACATCCTGTAACATGGTGAGGAGCTGACCGCTTAACAAATCATTGACGTGAGCAGGGACAGGCTTTCTTTTTAATTAGAAGTGGTCCAGTGGTGCCACCCCGTAGATTCAGGTGCTGAGGTCACATTACACACCAGGCTCCCCAGGAAGGTCTTACACAACCCCAAGCGGAGAATCAGGTCTTCCATCCAGAGTGCCCTGTGAGTGGTGCTGACGTCAGGTAGGCCCCTGCACAGCCGTGCCTTCCGTGGGGTGCGTGTCCTGTGAGTAGATACGTGGAGTGCACTGTGGGATACACTTCAGACTCAAGGCCTTTGATTTGATTTGATTAATTTTTTTTCTTTATTTTTTTGGAACGGGGTTTTGCTGTGTGGCGAGGTGGGCCTTGAACCTCCTGGACTCAAGCCGTCCTCCTCCATGCCTCCACATGCCCAACTCATTAAACTTTTTTGGGGGGAGGGGTACCAGGGATTGAACTCAGGGGCACTCAACCACTGAGCCACGTCCCCAGCCTTTTTTCTATTTTATTTAGAGACAGGGTCTCACTGAGTTGCTTAGCGCCTCACCATGGCTGAGGCTGACTTTGAATTCGCTATCCTCCTGCCTCAGCTTCCCAAGCCGCTGGGATTCATAAGCTTTTTTTTATCTGAGGCCTTGGTACTTGTTTTTATTTAGAAAATCATCGTCCTGGAATTAGACGTGATGGGGGAGGGTAGGGAGGAGGCCCGAGCAGCCTCTGAGACTCTTCAGTGCCCTTGAGTTCCTGGGGAGCTCCTCATAATGTGACTGTATTTGGGGGGGGGGGGCTGTATGTAGCTTTAGAGAATCTGCCCACCCAGCAGGCTCCCCTGTTGCAGATGCGCTTAGGCTGCTGACCATCCTGTGACTTGCAGGCTCTAGAAAACTGACGCTTTTGGCTGTGTCCGAAGTTTCTGTTTTGTTCTTTGAGGATCTGCAGCATGGCAGGTGTGGTGGCACATGCCTGTAATCTCAGTGGCGAGGCTTGACTCTGGAGGCTGAGGCAGTAGGATCACAGGCTCAGCAACGTAGTGAGGCCCTAAGCAACTTGTGGCTCAGTGGTTAAGCACCCCTGGGTTTAATCCTTGGTAACAAAACAAAAAAGAAATTGCACTAGCCCTTTATTTCTTAATAGGTCACTGCCCTCAGGGTTAGGATTGGAATTTAGATTCTTCTTCTTTTTCTTTTTCTTTTTTAACATGGTTTAATTTTTATTGATTAGTTTGATTGGTTACCAGGGATTGAACTCAGGGGCAGTGGACCACTGAGCCACCTCCCCAGCCCTATTTTGTATTTTATTTAGAGTCAGGGTCTCCCTGAGTTGCTTAGGGCCTAGTTTTTGCTGAGGCTGGCTTTGAACTCGCGATCCTCCTGTCTCAACCTCCTGAGCCACTGGGATTACAAGTATACACCACTGCACCTGGCTTAGATTCTTCTTGGTAAAGTTTCCATTAAGTAGGGCCCTGTAGGAGATGTCCTTTAGTCGCCCTCTCCACGACCTTCAGGGGTATGTTTTCTAGAGTTCCAATCACTTGGTGCTCAGTTCTGGGAAAGTTGAGATTATAAAATTTGTAAATGGTAAGTTTTCTTTTTCCCCCTTCAGTACTGAGCCACGTCCCCAGCCCTTTTTATTCTTTAATTTTGAGACAGGGCCTGCTAAGTTGCAGAGGCTGGTTGTGGACTTGAGGTCCTCCTGCCTCAGCCTCCTGAGCTGCTGGGATTGCAGGCGTGGGCCAGTGTGCCCAGCTGAAACTGGTGTTCAGATTTTAACTACCCGGGGAACCTGCAGGTGACCCTGGATGTCTTTCTTTTCACCCGGGTACAGGATGGAAAGTCAGCTGGAATGTTTTGGCAAATGATCGTATGGTTACCTGGACTCCCTGCTTGCTGGCTGCGGATATCCAGAGTGAAGGTGGTAGGAAAATAGGTTCTATTCAAAGCCCACTTGAAGGAAGAAACTTGCTGCATCTCTGGAGGCTCTGAGAACCAGGGAATCTCTCAGGGGAGAGGCTACAGGGTGGGGCCAGGGCAGCAGAGCCACGTTAGCCACTGAGAGCAGGCCTGGATGGCGGTCCGCCTTCTCCGCCCTCAGGGTGTGTGGCTCGGCTGGCCTTCCTGGTGCAATGGTAAGAGCAAACCCACCCAAGCAGAGCTGGTGCTGCTGGGGGTCTGCCTTGTAACTGGGACCTGCAGACCAGACCAGACCCACTCCTCCCCTCCCGGCTTAGGAGTTCACAAATTTGTAGTCCACGCTTTAGAAAAATTTGAGCATTTTGTTTTTTCTCTTTAATCTCTTAATTAGTCTAAAGTCCCTGGGGGCTTTTAAATGACACAGTGAATCACCTTCCTGGCCCTTTACTGCCTTTTGGCTTGCCCTCCTCCACTTCTCAGACCCTTTTGCCCTGAGAGAGGTTAGCTTTCTTACCTTTTTTCCCTCCCAGGTCTTTGTTGGTATTTTAGAAATGCCCCACCCCACCCCAGTGTTGAGCCGCAGCCTGGGTGGAGAAATCTAAATTCAAACGCTGTCCCCCAGTTTGGGCTTGACTCAGCTGTTCGTGCCGGGGAGTCACTTTGCCTGGGTACTGGCCCTTAGTCATGTGGACATACCTGCAGGAAGGAACGCTTGGTGAGAAACAGTCCTGGGGACTCTAGGAGAAAGCACGTCAAATAGTGTTCCTTTGACGTTTCCTTTAGAGAGGCCCATATCTGGGGAGCAGTGAGGTTACTAGAAATGGTAAACGGGCCGCTGCCTCAGAACCTGTCCCAGACATGACTTCGGTGGAGATAGAAATCACGCAGCAGGACATTGACCTGCTGGCCAGTAGTTTCTCTGTGGTGATTGAGGGGGTGGCTTTTAAAACTCAGCCAGGCTGCTTGGCTTTCCGTATGCCGAGGGGTTTGCCAGGGTTTCAGGGTAACAGCTGCAGGTGCAGGTGGGGATGGGTGGGGTCTCCGGTGTTCCCAGGTGTTCTGTCTCTATGCTAATGTGGTCTTATGTCATCTTAACCCGGAATTATTAAATTCACTGTTTTGCAGGAAGCGCCAACAAAATGACGTAAGTATGACTTGGGACAAGTTAGGTTTTATTTTAGGTTCTCCATTTACTATGGTCCCCTTCCTTGGCACAGAGCTTTTAATGACCACGATGACAAGGTCAAGAGAAGAGGTGGCCAGTGAGGCCAGCCTGGCACTTCTGACTCACTCAGCCCAGTTCTCTGCACACAGCATGCACTCCATAGAACCCTTTGTGTCTGGTCACATGTGTGTCCAGGGGACCTTTGGAAGTGCTCTATTGGAGGGAGCTACTGTCCTTCCAGGTGTGAGGAGGTTCCCAGGACCTGTGGACGAGGAAGCAGCCAGCGCCAGCCATCCTGGCCTGCATGGGGAGGCAGACCAGAGCATACAGTGTGCTGTCTGCTGCCCTGGGTGGGGTGTGGCTCGGGGCCCAGCTGCCCCTGTGCAGTTTGCCCGAACTCCTGGATGAGTGGGCGTCAGAGCTGTGTCCATGGGCAGCTGTGCCTCCTGTGAGCTGGTCAGGTAGTCTAGGCCCAGCTCCCACCGCTGTGGTCCGCTTTATTGTGCATTTAACTGTGAGCGGTCTAGGATCGTGAAGTTACGTCAGTGTGGGCGGTTACTTAACTAGAGACTGAGTCTGACCTTTTGTTCTGTGAGCAGTAGAAAGTGTGGTGGTGCATTTTCAAAGCGCAGCATTTAGCCAGTTGCAGTAGCCTGTCCCTCTTGCTTACCCTGATTCTAAAATGAGCGTAGATTTGCCCGAGCCTCTGGTCAGGGCCGAGGGTAGCTCTGCATCAGGTGGACAGCGGGCAGGGCGCCCGCCTGAGCTCGCCAGCCGGTTGGGGAGCATGCCCTGCCCGCAGAGTCTGGTTCCCTGCAGCCCCTCCTTTTCTCCAACAGTTTCCAGGTGTTGAATCTGTTTTGCTGAAGACGATGTCTCTTCCTCCATGCAGAAGGTTAAAATCCGTTTGGCCCTTTTCGTCCCATTTGCTGCTCCTGCCCGGTCAGGGTGTCTGCGGTTCCCACGAGGCTCGATGGATTAATTTGTTTGTTTCCTACGTGACGACTGTGGCGCCCCCCAGTGAACACCTGTCTTTCCCTTCGCCCCTTTCCAGATGCCCCCTAGCTGTGCTGACCTCGGCCCTGTGTGGTGTGGCCGTCTGGTGGATTGTGTGTGACTACATTCTTCCCGTCCTCCTCTTCTGTCTCGAGGGTCTCAGAGCACAGTAGCCAGCGGGACCCTTTGACAGGTGGCTGCTGTAAGTCCCGCTCCTTCTCCCTGGCTCTCTGCTGGCCTGGGGCGTGGTCTGCCATGCATGCTGTCCTCCATGCCGGCTCTGCTGCTTGGTGGCTGCCCCATTCACAGGTCCTTCCACAGGTTCTTTCCGGTGCCGGGGCTGCTGGCAAGGAGGGAGGGCTTCGCTGCTCCTTTCACGCAGGATCTGAAAAATGACACGCCCTGTTTCTAAGTCGCACTGAACTCTCCCCTGATATTCTGAAATGGCCACTTGTTAGCGCAGCCATTTTCACCTGTTCCTGCTTCCTGTCAGGAGCGTCTCGCTGGGGATCACGGGGGTTCCAGTCGGTCGCCTCTGCTGCCCCCCTCTCGTTCTCTGTACCTTGAGCATGTCCTCACTGACGTGGCAAAAAAAGAATTCTCTCCCTCTGGTCTGCTTCCAGCAGCAGGGTGGTTTTGTGGGCTTGTGGAGCCTGTGACCTGGCCCTGCCATCACACAGTGGCTCTCCAAAGTCTTCCATCTCCTTCCTTCTCCTCTGTAGGAAGCGCAGTGGGCAGAGCTGTTGACCTTGACTTAAAGGACATAGAAGGCAAGAGGCTGGGTGCTTGTGTCTGCATCCCCTCCGGCGTCTCTGGGCTCCGTTCTTGTCCTTTCTCAAAAATAACCAGAATCTCTTCATTCTCCTGAGACCCTTCATCCTTGAAATGAGTGGAGACACTTGCTCTCTGCAGGAGAATGTGGCGAGAAGTGTCGGTGGGACGTCACAGTGAAGACCCCCCCCCACTGAATCAAGACCTGTGACCCTGAGGCTGGTCACTCTACATTCTTTATTCTCTAAAATTTTTTCGTTCACTCATATTTCACAAATGCTTTCTGGTCCCATCTTGGAGTTGGAAATTACAAATACTTCCTTCTAGGATCTCTTCCAAAGTCAAATTCCACGGCCGCCAACTCGGGTGCTTTGTGGTTTCAGTGAGTGTTTTCACATGGACAAGAAAGGTTGAAAAATGAAGCAGATTATGCTCTTTGCATCATGAGAAGGAAACCCCTCTGCCTGTCCTTTCTTAGGGCACTTTCTGGAGTGTCCTTCGCTCCTGGCGTCTCTTCACCCTGGCGGTTTCTGGTGTACGTGGTCTTTTGGGTGCGTCTCCTTCCTTCTTTCAGTGAGCTCTGAGGTCCACGTATTCAGGAGCCTGGGCGCTTCCTTGACTTGCTGACTTCAGACTGTCCAGGTGGCCACGGTGCTCCAGTCGGGGAGTTGGTGCTTGGGCACTTCACTCCCAGGGTCCATTGCTGCCGGCTTTTCCCAGCTGGCTCTGAGACACCTGACCCCATGGTCGTCGTTGACGCCTGCCCGTTGCGCCCCACACCCAAGCTCAGTGTCCAGGTTGGCCTTTTAACTGGAGTGCACAGAAGCCAGGAGCTGTCCGTAGTGCAGTGACTGAGCAGGTCCTACCCACGTGGTCAGTGCCTCCCCCTTGCTTGTTTCAGAGGGTCTTTGCTCTGGAAGGTGACCACTCCAGGCCCATTCTGGTCATCATCTGTGGGCAGGTGAAGGAGCCTGGCCTGGTGGGTTGGCCGTGCTGAGAAGCAGTGTCGGGAGCAGCATGTCCTGTTCCTGTGGCAGCCTTGGGTCCTGGGAAAGGTGTCTTAGGGTCCTCGTTCCAGACCCCACCTCAGGGCTGCCCAGGGACAGGTGCGTGGCACCCTCAATGGGCTTCCCTGGCCGTGGAGGTCCAGGCCCTCGCAGGCCTGACAGGCAAGACACTCGGCTTTTCAGCATTTTGCTTTGCTCTGTGCCTTGTGGTGCGGGTGTCCCTGTGCCCACATCTGAGGGTCCTGCGGGCCCAGAAATGCTGCCAAGTGAGGAGTGGACGTGGCCTGAGGCAGAGGGGAATGGGGCTGAGGAACTCCTCAGGGAGGACAGGAGGGAGGAAGATGTGTCCTGAATGTGGCTCCAGAGCCTTCGGCTGGCCTGGGTGTCACCTCTGGGCGCCTCTGGAAGACTTCAGCGCGCGGTGGGGGCTTTCCCACTTCGGTGCCTGCCTGCAGGTGTGCCGAGCACGCGGTACGCGCACAGATGGTGGGTCTCCCCGGTGCAGCGACTGCACCCTGAGCATCTGCCCTGCTCTTCTTAGTTTCAGTATTCCACAGAAATCGTTATCTACTAGTTCAATATTTCATATCAATTTATGCACATCTTACAGGGAAATAAGTACTTTTTAAAGGCATTTTCTAATCCTAAGAAAGACTTCCCAGCGGATCCCGAGCTTTGTTTTCAGCAGTATTTTAACCTTTCAGTAAAGACGAAGGAGTCAGAGCTCAGGTTTCCTCAGCAGGCAGTGTACAGGCTCTTGGGTGGTTTTTTCCTGTTAATGATTTTACGGCGTGGAAATGTCTAGGCCTTTGGTTATCAGTATCCCTGAGATTTGGGAACAATGAGGCGTGGTATTCAGAGAAGCCAGCAGACCCCCGTTCTCTCCACCTGACAAGTGGCTTGGGGGACTGGTGAGAGTGGCCACCCCGCCGGACCTGGACCTCAGAAGGAGTTAGGAGGTGGCAGTGGAGTTTCATTTTTCCCTTTTCAGTTTTGGCCTCAAACTTGCAATCCTCCTGCCTCAGCTGCCCAAGTAGCTGGGATCGCAGGTGTGCAGGACTGCCTCTGGCTTGTGCTGTTTTTCTTTATGCAGAATCCCGAGTCAGATCCTTCACAGAGACGGGTAAGAGTCTCTTCCTCGCCTTATATCACCAGAGAGAGTTTTAGCAGTCGGCCAGGAGGAGTAGCGTTCGTAGCCCAGTGTGTGGTAACAGTGGTTGGTAATTATTTCAGAATAGCTTGGAGCAAGGATTTTGACATGTGTGCGAGGCAAGGGTGAGGCCATGGCCCTGATCCGATGGCTACGTGTCACAAACGTGTGTCGAAGTGTCACGGTGTACCCCATAAATGTCATGAGCTTGTCCCTGTCCTCGGGAGCGGAGCTCAGAATCCAGGCAGTCCGTGCCTCAAAAACTTGACCACATGAGATCCTGCATGCGGCGTTTCTGTCTTGTTAGATCATTCCCAGGGACGAGACCTTAGGAGAAGCTGGACCAAGCGTTGGCTGATTTATCCAGGGTTTGATTTCTCTGTGAGGTGGAGGGCTTGCTTCAGGGGACTGAGACATCTTACGGGGACGAGGGCAGCCGCCGCCACAGGAGGACCGCCTCCTCTTCCCTGGGGGCTTGAGGCCCCTGGCAGAGACCAGTCCCAGGCTGTGCCGTGTTCAGGAAGACCTGCTGTTTGAGCGATGAGCTGTTCCCATCTTACCGAACATCACTTGTGCTTTGGTTTGGCTGATCCTGCCACAGTCGGGCCCTGGCTTTGGGTGTTAGCTACCGAGGTGGTGGCAAAGGCCCAGGAGGCTCCCGTGGGTCCTAGTGGCTGTTTCACTTTGCAAGCTGGGTCCTGACCAGTTCTCACCCTGAGGCTCAAACAGTGAGAGGAGGAAGCTTTTCCAAGTCAGTGTTTTCCCTTTCAGATGAGTGAACGTTGACACGCATCAGTGAGTGAGAGCTGTTTGGTTTTCCAGTGGTGAACTCAGAAGTGAGGACGTGCCTCTGCAGTCTCGGGTATCTTCACAGTGACAGTTCAGGGAGATGAAAACAAACCCTGTGAGCAGGGCTCTGGGTGGCCGTCACCTCGGCTCTTCTTTCCGATTCTTGCCCTTGCCTCCTGGGCAGTCTGCTATGGCAGGAAGGTTTTGTCTTTTAGAGTTAAGGCAAGTTTCACGACATTTAAAAGATTTCACTCTCATTTTAATGATACACAGAAATTTAGTAAGCAGTTACAATCCAGACAAAACTCAAATTTTGCTTGAAAGTATCTTAAAACTTTGAAATGTTACAGGAAATTATTGATTTGTGTTCATCACATATACTTTGAGCTGTTATCAGTGAGTATTGTGTAGCTATTCCTAAATTTATATTCAAATATTTCAGAATTCGGGGTTTATGACTTGTTTCCATGACTAGAAATCTGAGTCTGTCTTCACAGATTCGTTTGATGGGTTCTTTGGTGTGGGAATCGGTTATCATGCCCGGCATTTGTTCTCCAAAAGCAGAGCACCCTGGTTATCTTTGTTTAACCTTCAAAGGGAAATGAGATGCTTCATCTCAAAAAGGCTTGGTGTTAAAATGTGTTTTGGGGTATTTTTTTGGCAAACGTATTGATAGACAATCTCATCATTCTCTAGAAAATAATTTGCACTGAAGGCGCGAATGCCTTCCTCTGTCAAAGTGTCTGAAAGTCGTTGCGGTGAATATAATCTCATTTTTTTCCAACTGTTTTCAGAGTAATTCTCCAGTCCAGTGTTCAGAGCTGTAGAACACCTGAACCTGACATTTCTGGCAGTGCAGGCATTACTAAAAGAACCACCCGGTCTGCTGCGAGGAAAGGCAGTTTTAAAAGGTGAGAAAAGAATCTTGTTCTTGGGAACCGCTCCCAGCACGGGTTTCCGGATTGCTCTTTTAGGCCCTCGCTCTCAAGATGGCAGGAGACCGCAGAGGGCAGGGTCCCTGCAGTGGGAGAGGACTCACCGGGGGCGTGTGAGGTTCTGGGCGGTTGAATGCAGGCTTTTGTTTCCTTTTGTGGCTCAGGAAATTCTTACCCCTGGAATGTGGGCTGTGGAGAGTTGAGAATGTGGTTGTTCTGAAGAGTTTTTAAATGGAGTTTCCAAAGTGCTGTCACAGCTCCGAGGCGTCTTGCTGTCCGTCTTCTAGAACACTGACCATCTTTCTGTCTGCTAGCTCAACTGTTGGAGCACTGGCTGCAGTTCAGCTGGTGGCCAGTGTCTGCCCGTGCAGAGGCCCTTCCTGACCCGAGGCCCGCCGGTCCTCGTGGCCACGGTCCACATCCAGTGCTGCTCCTGCGTCCTCCGTTTGTGATCCAGTTTTCATCACCTCTTCCTTTAAATATAGGCCCTGACTGGGACGTGGACCTGTCCTAGGACCACACCAGCCACTTGCCACTGTCCCTGTTTACTTATCATGGACCAAAGGCGGACGTTGAATTCTGAAAGGATTCTGAGAACACGTTCTCTCTGAGGGACGCATTAGTAATGTGGTCACAGCTGTCTCAGGCATGCGAGGTGGGGCCCCTGTGCCACTGCCCGGCTCTGGTTTTGTGCTGTGGTCACACAGGTCTCTTACCAGAGACCATTGGCGGCCTGTGGAGAAGCAGAACCAGCCACTCGCGTGTCCAGGTCACGCGTCCGCACGGTCTCCCTGCTTCTCTTCGCTGCTCCCTGGTGGCGCTGGTCGGTCCCTGATGGGTGCCAGGAGCAGCAGACCTGGTCTGGGACTCATGTGCGCTAGTGACCGAAGAAGTGGCTCAGTTCTGACGCCTTTCCTTCATGGCCGACTCCTTTATAAATGTCCACTCCTTACTCGATGTACACGGGAAGGTGACAGTGCCCCTGCTTGAGTGTTTGAGAATTGTCGGGCACTGACTCATGATTTTGGGGGCTTTTAATTTTTCATGAGAAATGTATCAAATATTCACACTGTTTTCTCTGACCAATTCCACTTGACAGGAGGCTTAGAGAATTGCTGGCAGAAGGTCAGATTTGGGTACTCCATCCTCAGCATGATGTCAGAGTATCATTTATAACAGCAGGGAAGAGGAGATGGCCCAAGCTGACCCATCAGGTCAAAGGAGTTGAGAGGAGTGTTTTTACTTATTGTTGGTTTGGGTGATGCTGGGGATCAACCTAGGGCCTGATCCATGCTGGGCAAAGCTTCGGACATGTTTTTGAAGAAAATCCAGTGACCTGAGTAAATGATCCAGAAGCAAAAGGAAAGGGCCACACACAAAAAAACCTGAGATAGTGCCCTGATTTTGTGTATGCACGTTATACTGTAGGAAGAGAGGTGCACAGCCACAGCCACCCTGGCAGATGTACGGATTTCTGTGTCTAGAGAAATAAGACCAGAGGAAAGATGTGTCATGACACTAACGTTCTGATGTATGATTGACACAACAGCTGGGGACTGTGTTTTTCTTCTTTATCTTTTTTTTGGTACCAGAGATTGAACCAGGTGCACTCAGCCACTGAACCACATCTCCAGCCCTTTTTAATATCTTGTTTAGAAACAGGGGCCTCTGAGGCTGGCTTTGAACTCATGATCCTCCTGCCTCAGCCTCCAGAGCCACCAGGATCACGGGCGTGCGCCACCAGGCCGGCTCATTTTCTTATTTTCCAACTTTTCTATGCTAAATGGTAGGAAATGGGAGTGTTTTGATTCTGACACTTTTTAGGTGAGGCAAACCGTCAGAAGTTAAAATGGTAAATCTCAACATGCTCTGAATGGACACCATCCTCCTTAGGTGTAAGCACCGGGCTTCCATCACAGCGTCGCGTTTCTTGGGTACTTAATTCTGATTTTTCTGGGTTGTGCCTTTTTAGGTTGTGGAGGAACAGAGTCCAGTCACAGAGCTGCACGTGCCCAAGCGCTGCCGTGTTCCTTTAAGGAGGGTGGGCCGTGCACCAGTGTCGAGATTTTTTGATGTCACTTGGGTGGTGCTCGTGTTGCTCAGGAGAGAGGGCTTCTGATGCAGGGAGCCTCCGCAGAGGGCGCTTGGGGGTCCTCGTGGGGAGTTCAGACCCAGTAATCCAGGCTCAGCAGTGAACTGGCCCAGAGCAGGCTCCGGGAATTTGGGGCAGTGTCAGAAACCAAGAAAGACTTCTTTTAGATTTTGAGATGCACTTTCAGAGGGGGCGGTTTAGAGAAGCAAAGGAGTAAGACAGCGAGTGAGTGGGGTTTTCAGGTTCTGTTCAGCCACCTCCTCCCTGGGGTCGGGGTTTCACCTCTGTTCACCTCACCTGTTTTTAGAAGAAAGACAAAGAGACCATTGCAGCGTCCACACTGCTTCTGGGAGCACGGGAGCCAGGGCCGCCGGCCGGGTCATCCTGAGTACTTGTTTTTGGTTGGAGGGTGGCACAGGAACAGAGGTGGCCCTGCTGTGTGGCCTGACTCGGGGAGGAGAAGTGTGGGCTAGACCCGCAAGTCGTCCCGGGACGGGGCTGAAGTCTTTTCTTTCAGCACAGTGTCTTAAAATCAGGACCCTTTCCACCTGCGTCCCTTGTCCCCTCCGGGCACAGGCAGACTGCCGTGCCATCCCCCCTGTGTGCAGGTCCTCTGTCTTGCAGGTCCCGCCTCCTCCCTCGACCCCATCTTGGGGCGCAGGAGCTCCAGGGATCCTCTACACATCTGTTCCTCCAGGCTCCAGGATGGGGCGGGGGGGAGGGGCTGTCAGGTGTCACTTCACTCTGAACTGGCTCTCCTCATGGCTCTCCTCATTTGGGCCGTTGGCTGAGGGGGTCTTCAGCCTTGGAGAACTTTTTTCCAAACCTGTTCAGCGAGCTTACTGGGTAGCGGGTGGGGACGGGAATGTTGTGCTAAGTTATTGGGAAAGAGACGCCTCCATGTTTGTCCTGGCAGGTGATCATTCTGTCACGTGTCCCTTTGGACACACCATGCTAAACCTGAGCCACGCGCAATGCAGTGGCCCAGGCACAGCAGACACAGAGGGCGTGTGGCCTGGTGACTGAGAGCAGTGGCCCTCAGTGCCCATGAGACTCTGTGACGCCTCGTTCCCTTTCTCAAGTCCAAAAGCAGAATCGTGGGCTGCTCCTCCCACTTCCGGCTGAGCCAGGGGACCACCTGACATTTCTCTCTTAAGAACTAGAAAGCGCAGTGGAAAATCGGCCTCTTCCTCCCGTTCTTGGGTTCCCCGTGAGCTGTCTGGAGGCGCGTGGTGTACCGTGTCCCTCTGGGGCCTGCTGGCCTGTGCTCTGTCCTGTCTTCACCCCGCTCTCCCACTGAGCGCCCTTTCTGGAAGTCCCTGCCTGTTCTTTTGGGCAGTCTTATTTCTTAACTCTCCATCCCATGTTCCAAGGAATCTCTTGGACAAGTGACTCTCTCATTGCGAGTGGCGTCTTTGGGAACCACCGTTTTGCTCCCCGTGGCCTTGGGCTGCTTTGTTCCCGGTGGTTCCCGTGGTGGGGGGAGGGATGCTGGGGATCCTTCTCCAGCCCCCAGCCCCCGACTGGGGGCTGTGACCTTGGCTTCTTCGACTTCCTCAGTCCTTTTGCCAAGTCCCCCCTGTCCTGCCTGTGGCTGGTCTGGATTCAGAAGTCGCAGACGGAATGCCTTTCTGGTGGCCTGTGGCCACTGGGGTTGATCCCGACCTGCAGGGTCCCAGGGAGTCCTCTCTCCACATGTCTTAAATGCTGCTTCTCTCCCATCTCTCGAACGGGGGTTCACGACCCTTTAAAATTCCAGCTCTTTCCCACTTGCCTCCACCAGGTGACCAGGACCTTTTTACTCTGGGCTCTCGGAAGGGGACGCAGCAGGGGCATCCGAGTGCGGCCTCCTCCAGACAGGGAGCCTTCTTGTGACTCTCGCTTTTGCTTTTCTCTGCAAGTTGTGCCCGAGTTGGAGGAGTGACGAGCGCACATGGGTGGGGCTGGGAGAGGGGGTGAGGATCCAGGAGGGTCCTCATCCAGCAGGACGGGGTCCTTGGGTGTGCTCCACTGCCCTGCTGGGCCATCCCGTCACAGATGTGCCCAATGGGCCCTGCGGAGCTGGGAATGGCCTGTGGTACCTGGGACCAGTTGGTGGCCTCTGCAGTAACCTCCTCGTCTTTCCTTCTTTCCGCCTTCCTCGCAGCCGCGTTCCCCAGAGGGAAGGAAGGATAAGGAGAGCGCTGCAGCCAGTGCCCTTGGTGGCAGTATGGTACTCGCCTCGCTCTGCCACCCCTGCCCTCCCATCTCCGTTCATTTTTATTTATTGTTTTTATTTTTTAAATTATTTTTTTTTCAGAATTGAGCCCTTTTCCGCTCGGCCCTCCTCCTCTCTGTCTGTACTTTGTCATTGTGGGGTGCTGTCCCTTCCAAAGCGTCTGTCATTCAAACGCACCTGAAGCCTGCTCTCCTCCGCATGTCGATCCTTTCATTGCGTTGCCTCCCTCGTCCTTGGTAACTGCCTCTGGGACACTTAAAACCTCACGGTAAAACCCTTTTCTTCTTCTTTTTTCTTCTTTCTCCCCAGTCCCTCTCTGTCAAGGACTAAAACAGTCCTGCGCTAAGTTAAAAACCCGTGACCAGAAGTGCCGGAGACTCTGGGAACACAAAACTCCGACAAGACGTAGCACAATTTCTTTGAGAACAAAACAAACTGCAGACGCCTTAGCCGCTTTCCACCCAAGAAGCTCGTTCGGAGAAGGAAAGACCCACCGGCGTCTGGTGCCACTGAGCCCGGGGTGTGGGCGGCGCGCGAAGGGCCCGGCTCTCCTTTCTCTAGTGTTGTCTCGAGTTAAACCACAGAACACTGTTGTAACCCCAGCTCAGGTGTCAGTCGCCGCCTCTGCCGTCCAGAGAGCTGCCCGGTGTGTGTGGCCTATGTCCCCATGACCGCAGTCCCCTTGGCTGCTGGCCTTCAGGAGAGCGGAGCATCTGAGGGTGCACCTTGATGCCTTGGTCTTCTCCTGCCCCGCAGCCCCGCGGCCCCGCAGACGCCTGCGTGGTCCTTTCCACACGGGATGCTGTTCAGTTCCCCGTCCTCCCTTTTCCCTTTGACATACTGTTGTGACGTTCCCTCTGTGAAGTACCCAAGCTGCTTGTCTTCCACCAAAGAGTGCTTTATTACTAGAACCTGTGAAAGCCACACCTGCACACTGTCGCACGCTGTCCCCCCCCCCCCCCCCTTCCCAGGCACCCCCACACCCAGGAAGATCTGGTTACGAATGGCTTGGGTCCAAGAGCAAAGGATGTCCACGCCCTAGGACACTAGGACCTTGTTCCCCCCCCCCCCCCCCCCCCCCCCCCGAGGTACTTGGGCCACCTCAGGCTTGCCAGAGAATTTGAATGGAAGCTTTAGAAGACTCGGGAGGAGAAGCTGGTTTCGGAGTTGGAAGGCGATGGTGGGTCCTTCCTTCCCGATATCATTTAGGGACTGAAGAAGTGGAAGGCTCTGCGCTCCTGCGTGGCCCAGCCAGGCAGAGTAAAGTAGTGTTTTCCTCTAGACGTGAAGAAACAATCCCGCACGCACACATGCACGCACACACATACCCACACACATGCACACACACACATACCCACACACATGCCCACACACATGCACACACACATGCACACACACGCACACATGCACACACACATGCACACATATGCACACACACACCCACACACATGCACACACACATGCACACACACATAGTGGGGCTTTGCCCCAGGAAACAGCCATCTCACATTGTGGTGGCTTTAAAAAGAAAACTGTCAACGGGTTTTCAGAGTCTTTCTGAACCGCGTGGGTTTTCCTCCTCAGCCATCGGGCTGAGGCCACCCCCCGGCTGACAGGGTTGCTTGGGGCTTCAGTAGTTGGCAGTGAGCCCCGACCGATGCCTCTGGTCAGGGGGTCCAACAGTAACTGTGCCTTGTCCCCTCACCTCCTGGAGCACCACCGCCGGTGGCTGTGACCGCAGCAGTCACGCAGTTTATCTGCTGCTTAGAAAAACAGGCCCATGATTCAAGAACATTTTGCAAGCACCTTCCCTGAGGAGCGAGCGCTTTTCCTCCGTGGTGGCCACGCTTTCCTGGCTAGTCTGGAGAGGGCGCTGTTGGAAGGCGGCCCCGGGCACCACCTTCCTCCAAAGACCAGATGAATGTATGGGGGCGGGATCCCACGCACAGAGCGGCCTTGCCCATGAGTGGGACGCGGGACGTGGGACAGGATAAAGTCATCGAGAGGTGGCTGCGCCTGTTGCAGGGTTTCTGCCTTGGAGAGCAGCGTGGCCTGGACAGGCACTGAGGGCAAAGGCAGGGTGCCAGTATTTCCACACCCAGTCCTGTCAGGCCAGCTTCTAAACCTTAGGGACTAGGTCACAGGAAAGCAGTGGCTTTCTGTGCCTGGAGGCAGACAGGCCCAGGAGCTGGCTGGGAGGAGGAGCATCCGTGGGCTGAGGCCAGGCTGAGCACGCCAGGAGTGGGCTGCAGTGTCTCAGGGACACCTTGCCAGGGCCACCTCCTCCCCAACTAGCCACATGCCCATCTGAATCGGGCTCTCTCCTGCACCAGAATGAGCATGCATCTACCCACATGCTCCTACCAAGCTGGCCCCTCGTGTGGGCAAGCCAGCTGGGTTTGGGCCAAAGCCTTTGGTGACCACAGTGCTTTCCTCTAAGTCGCCTTCTCGTGTCGGCCTCTCAGCTCTCCAGCTAAAATCGCTATCACTGTGGCTCTTGCCAAACATCCCTGTGTCACTAGCTCACTGAAATGAGTCGGAGGCTGCTTTGGAAGACACATTCCTTGGGGTGCCCAGAGAAGCAGGGCCAGGGCCCAAGAAGGAGCTCATGGCAACCTCACTAAGCTTACGGGGACCCGGGTAGGATCCAGAAGTCTCTGGGTCTGACACTCGAAAAGTTTTTCCTGCTGTGAATAAGAGCAAACCCCGTCCACCTGAAACCACAAAACACCCGCATCTTCTGGGCCTCCAACCTGGGGGTCCTGCTGAAGACCCTGTGGCTGTGGAAGACGAGGCAGTGCTCGTCGGGCTGAGCCACGAGCGAGCCTTAAATAGCTTGGAAAGCACACCCAGCCGCTTCCAGGGAAGGTAAAACTAGAAACACATATTTATAGGTGCCCTTGACTCAGGTCATCAAGAGTCAGGGAGAGACCCTGGGAGCAGTGTCTACACAACTGGGCTCCTGGAAGTGTGGATAGACCCATGGAATGCCAAGACAGACTCGAACCCTGCTCCCTGCAGGGGACAGGCCGTGCCTCGTTCAAAGGTGGCCTTACTTCCCCATCTGCCCCACCCACCCGCTGCCCTGTCCCGGGTGGTTTCTACCTCTTGGCTCAGGCCCAGACTTGTCTCCGAGGTCTTCCCAGTGTCCCCCTGAGGCCCTGGTGCCTGCCCTGGGGCATAGTGTGGGCCTGCAGGCGCGCTCCGGGTGCCCTGTGCCAGGAGTTCTGGAGCCTTCTCCCCTCTGTCGAGTGGCCCTCTGTGACAGGTGAGCAGTGTGCTTACCTGATGTGTTCTAGAAGGACCCAGCTGCTGCTCGCTCTCCCTGTTATCTTCCCTTAGTGCATTTAAAAAGCAATGCTCATCAAACTTCCACCTTAAAAACATGGGATTTTCCCAACAGTTCTTAGCAACTGAGATGTCCTGGTGAGGCCCCGCTGCTCCTCCATTTTCCCCTGCCTCTAAGTGGAAATACTAGGGACGTGTCTAAAAGACTGGACAGTTCGCCCATACTGTGTAGGACATTACCTCCGTATCACCCGTAGAGAGTACTGCAGTTTTATATTAATTATTTGCAGACTTTTATCTAATGTGCACTCATGTACAGATTATTAAAAGTTTTAAAATGTAACTGATTAATCAGTATTTGAGCAATCATTGTTTTGATTTTTTTATTAAAATGTATATTTCTAATCATATTTTTTAAAGCTGAGAGAACTGGTTGAATGTTTATTTTCCTGACGGTATTTTTAAGATACAGCTTCATAATGGCCTGTAAACTTTGCATATATATGTGGTTTGATACATACTGTTGCATTTGAAAATCTTGTGTATTGGAACTGGTTTTATACGAAACACTGAATAGTGGAAATTGTACAATTACAATCGTGTAATTAAAAGTATTAACCAAAGAGGCTTCTGGTTTCTTCACTTACTGAGCATTCTGTCAGGGTACCCTTCTGTGTTGGTTTGTCAGGGCCACCAAAACAGCTCCACAGCCGGGATGGAGTCCAGAATGTCCTCTCTCCCAAGGTCAGGGTGTGGCAGGCTGGGTCTGTCCTGAGGCCACCACCTAGCTGGGCCCTCTCATGGGCCTCCTCTGCCTCCCTGTCCCTGATGTCTCCCTGTCCTCATCTGTAAAAGCCCTCGCCAGCTGGACTCGGTCCTACCCAGTGGCCTCTGTTTCCTTAGCCCCATCTTTCCGCAGCGTCCCCAGACACAGTCAGACCTTAAGGTGCCAAGGGGTGGGCTTGGGGGGACTTAGACTTCCAGGGACACAGGAGTAAGACAAGTGGGGGCTCCTGTACAGTCACTGCACACACCCTCCCCTTCCAGGAGACCGGGACATCCGGGGTGTGGGGCACAAGCGGAGGCCCCCCTCATAGGAGCGTCTAGGGCTGGGCAGGAGTGGCCCCGAGCCCCCCACGCCTGACCTGTCACCCGGGATGCCATTTCCCCATTTCCCTCCTCATGGTCCCTCGCTGGGCAGGATCCTAAGACCCAGAGCCTCCACCTCACCCAGCCGGAGCCCACCCGGGACCCCTCATAGAGGTTTTGTCGGAACTTGGCACCCTCCTGAGCCCTGTTCTGCTCCCCAAGGACCTGGGCTTGGCTTCACACTGGGACACAGATTTTCAAAGTGAAAATCACGCAAACCTGTCTCCCTGCCCCTCCAGACTCCCGCACTTTGCTCCCCAGGGTGGGGCAGCAAGTGGCTCTGTCCTCTGTGCAGAGCTCCTTATCTGCTTGTCCCCCTACAGTGTCCCCTGAGGCGTGTCGGGTGACAGGCTGTCCTACTGACTGTGTGGCACGCAGCTTCAGATAAATTCGCCGTGAATTTTAGGGAATTGTCTCTAGACGTCAGGCAGAGATGGATTTTGTAGCAGGTTGTGGCGGCTCCGGATCTGTTTTTCCCTTGTGTGTCCATAATGCTGTTATTTTAAAAGAAACAAAATATTTTGACTGGAAGGGGGACGTCCATCCAGCAGAGGTAAGTCTCTTGTGAGTGGTTTGTGCACAGACCAGGCCGGGGCTTGTCAACAGGTGGACGCGCCCCTTGGTGAGGCTCTGTAATTGAGATGGCAAGTCCTGGGTGTGCCACTATTCTGCCACCTTGGGGACCTGTAGTGTGCCTCGGAGCCTCACCTGGCTCACCTGTGGAACTGGCCAGTGAGTGTCCGGTTTGGATTACAGGAAGGGCCTGCCCAGGGTGACTGGCCTCGGCTCTGTCTTCCCCTCCCCAGGCGCCTGTGGGCACTCGCGGGTCACTGGAAGGAGCTCTCCGCCTTTCCCATAGTGTCCTGCGACAGCCGTGTCTGCCTTTTGGCCATGTGGTGGCTGCCCGCCTTCCTGGGGATAGCCCTGTGTGTATCTGTCCTGCGTCCGTCTTTCCTGGGCCAGGCGGGTTCTCTCCTGGGGTGAATGTGACAGGAGAGGTTTCTGGGTCACAGGCCGGGCATCAGAGCGCAGTTTGACACGGTGGTGAACGTGGGGCACGGCCCAGACTGAGCGCCAAGCCCCACTCCGCCCACTTGGTAGCCTTGTGGCTGGGCCCTGTCACGCCCCTCCCTGACCTTGCTTCCTCTTGTCTGAAGTGGGTGACATTGTCACTCTGGCAGGCTCTGTGTGGAGAGAGCAGGACGTGGGCCCCAGAGTCGAGGGTGGTGGGCCGCTGTCCTGACCCTCAGCTGTTTCATGATCTGGTTTGGGACACTTTGCGTCCTAAGAGGCGGGCATGGAAGGGCCCTGGCGCCTCTCGGTACCTCCACCAGCTCATTAGAGGAAGTGGGTCCTGGCGGGTGAACCCTTCCCAGCCCCTCCCCCAGCGCCCTCCCCGGGGACACTGGCCCGGGTGGACATGGAGGAGGTCCACCTGCGGCTCACCGGCCACCTCGCCCCCACCGCCTAACTGTGCCTCATCTCTTTGCCAGCAAGTCTGCATGACCGT